GGGGGGGGGGAGATTAAGAGAGGAATGCAAGAGAGTGGATTAGGAGAGTAATTCTAGAGAGTAAATTAAGAGAGTAGATTGAGAGTAGATTGAAAGTAGATTCGATAGAAAGTAGATGGAGATAAAGAGTAGACGCTGATAAAGAGTAGATGTAGATAAAGAGTAGATGTAGATATAGTGGACTTAGAGAGGACGTCAAAGAGTACATCGGGAGTGAGTGAGAGAGTAGATCAAGAGAGTAGACCAAAAGTACATTAAGAGTAGAATATAAGTGAATGATAGAGTAGATCAAAAGTACATTAAGAGTGGAATAAAAGTGAATCATAGGGTAGTTCAAGAGAGCAAGAATGGAACATAACTGAAACAAGAGTAAAATGAGCAAACAAAAGTGAACTCATGGAACATATTTATGAGTAGATTCAAGACAGGGCCTGAGGCAATAACGGAACAAAATATGGAGAGTGGGAGGAGACCCACTTCGTGCTGATGGCTGGACGGCAGAAACAGCAGAGGAGAGCCGGGATTGAATATAGCAGAGACGATAGAGAAATATGGTGGAGCCGAGAAAGTGGAGAATTCGGGGCGGAAAACAGGGAATTGGAACAGACAACTAGGACTCTTAAATAAAGAATTGGGACTATGAAAGTGCGCCCCAACTCCACTGATGTCACCTCATTCCCAGAGATATAGGGGTGCCGCAAAACCAGACAAAACGGACACCCCTAGAGACGCCCTTCACAGGATTCATCCGCCAATGGACCCAAGCCGCCTCTATTCCAGATTTCGGCCACATGCACACCCAGCCAAAATATTGAAGAGTGGAATCCCGCCGATTCCGCGTCGATCAGTGTGCCCTGCAATAAAAAAGCCAGGATCTAGACTGTGCCCAAAGGCTAATCGATGACATCAATGATATGCAAGGCAGGCACATCGGCCTCTGTCTGGTGGCTTGGTTGTGTGTTGATGTCAACACGGGGAATGCCCCCTCTACTTGCTTGCTGCTTGCTTGTTCTATTCGTTTGCTCTGGAAATCTATACGGCCATTCCGAGATCCGCCAGCCCACTCCGATTCCACCCAATGTTCCGCGCCGTTTCCAGTGCCAGTCCCTTCCGGGACCAGCCAATTTAGTTTACTCAAATGGCGCTGATTTCGGAGTTCCGCCCGCAATTCTTGATGCTGCCCACTATTGCTCTTGCTAATTTAACCATGTGGCTTGGGCTCCATATGCAGTGCGTCTGCGTATAGCCCGGTGACCCCTCTGTTTTTTGTGACACAGCATGACGTGAGTTTTGACCTGGCGTTCCCAGACCTCCCGATCGAGCCCAAGTATCAAAACATGACTTTGGGCCCTAATTTGACTGGACTGAAAGCATGCCTGGCGGGCCGGGCCGCCCCTGCCTGCAGGACTGAAGTCGACTTACGACGCAGCGCATTAATTGGGTGCGAAATCTCTGTTCTGCCCACGTCATAGCAAGGAATACCGAAAACGTCCCATCATAAGCCCCAGAAGACCCCGAAAACTGTCCGAACAAACCTCCGGGCACAGGAACGAGGCACGAGCCGTGCCCCTTACACACAGGAGCGACATGCGCAGCAAGCACGTTTCTTTTTCCTTTGGGGTTCTCGTTGTCTACTCTGTTGTCTAGAGTGGAATATAGAATTGCGCGTGTTCACTTTCTATGCCTGGGTCACTGTTTTGGATCTGGGCCCTACCGGTATTCAGCGGCTTTCCTGAAATTTTTGCTTCTCAAAGTATTTACTCAGGCATGGGAGTAGAAGTGAGTAGTTCAAGGCTATTTCTTAGAAATTCGTGGCAAGGCCACTTCTTCGATACTCCTTGCCTAGGCCATTTCTCGAGACTGTTCAGGGCCATTTATTTTGGTAAGTATTTTTAAGGCCATTTTCGGATGATGCTGTCATGCTGCCGTAACGTTCAAATTGATCAGCGGCATTATGTGTGCTTTTATCTCCCTCGTGTTGTATCTCATTACTCGTATAATCCCTTGTGTTATATCTCATTTCAGGCGGCCCGTAGCTGGAGATCTATCTGTATGCCAGCTCATAAAGCAGTTGACTGGAGTGACAGGCCTGGGAGCCACACCCAGAATCCCGCACTTTCGTTAGGTCGCTGAAGTTTACACGTGGTGGAAGTCTTAATCCAACCGGAATATATACCCATAAAAGCAAGAAGGGACACTGCTGCGCTCGTCATGTACCATCCTGTGATATAAAGACTTGAAGGCGAATCAGGGCGTTTGACGTGATATCAGAAAAAAATGAGAAGCAGTGTCGTTTGAAAGCAGAGTATATGGGTCTCACGACAGTTGGAATTAATATACAACGCCGTAGAATAGATCTTGGGTGCTGACGTGAATCAATCACCAGACGGGTTCGACCATGCATCAGATCTTGACACGAGTAGCTGACTCTTTGTGGCTTTGATTGTATTGAAAAGGGGTGATTGCATTGAGAGGTTTATACGTGACTCAGCTACAGCAAAAAGATGGGAGGCTTTCAGAAATACCAGCAGAATGGCCAGGCTTGTAATTCCATCAGCAGATGGGCACAGGCAGGAGGATTTGGATCCAGTACTGATCGAAACCCAGACTATTGCCCTACCATCAGGTGTCCCCGAAATTGCGCCTGTGCATCTACGTTTGCCATATAAAGAGCATGTGGAAACTCAGTGGTTTGACTATTTTTGTGACGAGACAGCGCTTTTTGAACTCTGGGGCTTGTGGTTTCATAGAGCAAGGAATGGTCCTCGCGAAGGCCATTGATGTGGTGAAAAGTAGTGTCTGTCAAAAGGCACATATACCCAGAGCGTGCTGCTGCCCTAGAGATGGAGTGAGCACCACCCAGCCATGATTTGGGCCGTCAGCCGCTGTAATCCATGAATCTGAGCAGACAGAGCTGCAGCAACAAAGTGAAGAGCCATCGAGAAGGCGTTTTGCGGGGCTGCTAGTGGATAGTAGCGAGAGGTCCAGGGGTTCATGTCGGTTGACTGTACTGAGAAAAAAAGCCACGCACTGGTGGGTTCTGGTTTCCGAGGCACCTGCTGGGGCCAGGCACCAGATTTCAGAGGCGTGCCGGGGAATATTGCCGCAAGTGCTTGTACAATGGCTCAGGCTCGATTACGAGAAGCAGCTTGCGTGGCCCGAAGCGGTTTCAGCAAGGCGGTCTCAGCAAAGCAGCCTTAAGCGGTTTCAACAAAGCAGCCTAAAGAAAGCGGTTTCAGCAAAGCAGCCTAAAGAAAGCGGTTTCAGCAAAGCAGCATTAAGAAAGCGGTTTCAACAAAGCAGCCTAAAGAAAGCGATCTCAGCAAAGCAGCCTAAAGAAAGCGGTTTCAGCAAAGCAGCCTTAAGAAAGCGATCTCAGCAAAGCAGCCTTAAGAAAGCGGTTTCAACAAAGCAGCCTAAGGAAAGCGGTTTCAGCAAAGCAGCATTAAGAAAGCGGTTTCAACAAAGCAGCCTAAGGAAAGCAATCTCAGCAAAGCAGCCTAAAGAAAGCGGTTTCAGCAAAGCAGCCTTAAGAAAGCGGTCTCACCAAAGCAGCCTTAAGAAAACAATTTCAACAGGGCGGTCTCACCAAAACAGCCTCAAGAAAGCGGTCTCACCAAACACAGCCTCAGCCCACAGCCAACCCCTATCGGCCCCGGAGCGTCTCGCGCCAGGCCGTGAACTCGGGCGTCAAGATGCCGCCGTGGCGCAAGCGCCGGTTCTCGTCGCCCACGCACTCGCTCAACATGAACGAGCGCGAGCCCGGGTCGTAGTCGAGCTTGTACGCGCTGCGCTCGTCCGCCACGTCGACGGTCTGCACGAGCCAGTCCAACACCGCGCCGTACCAGCGCAACGCGTTGGTGCACAAAAGCGGCGCGCCGCTGCGCCCGGCCACCGCGCTGTCCTTGATCATGAGCGGCACCTCCTCGGTGCGGTACACCTCCACGTCGCGCAACACGTAGTTGTCGTCGCGGAACCCGTAGACCATGCGGGGAACGCCCAAGAGGAAGCACTGGGCCCACGTGCGGAAGAGCTTCTTCTCGAACTGCGCCGCCTGCTGCGGCGTCTCGACCACGCGGCTGGTCTTCAACTCCGCGTAATGCGCAAGCACGTCCGCCGCGTTGTCCGGGAGGTAGTCCCACACACAGTCGACCTCGCCGGCCAAGAGCGTCTTGACTCTGCCCACGCCCGTGCGCACCACGCTGATGTACTGCTCGTAGTTGCTGACCACTTTCTTGTGCCGCTTCTCGATGGCCGCGCGCGGCGTGTGCGCCCAGGGCCGCGGAAGCGTGGCCACGGCCTCGAACTTGTAGCCGCCGTACTCGCAGGTGCGCAAGTGTTTCTCCTTGGCCGCGTCGGCGCCGAGGCGCTGCTGCTCCGCGGCCCGTTTCTTCAAGTCGAGCTCGTCGTCGTTCTTGAGGAAAATCTGCCCGTCGTACGCGAGCACGTGCAAGTGGATCTCGCTGTTCAAGTCGTAGGGCAACGTGAGGAGCCTGGTCATCACGCCGCGGAAGCTGATGATGTCGGCCCGCACCTTCTTGCCGGAGGTCTGTTCGTGCTGCTGCAAGCACCGCAAAAGCAGCGGGAAGTCCGCGGTGTTCTGCGCGTCGGGGATCTTCTTGAACGAGCCGAGCCCGGCCTGGAGGCTGATGTTCTTGTCCACGTACGCGTCGGGGAAGTAGAAGTAGTTGAGGCCCTGCAGCTTGGCCTCCTTGTCGTCCGTCTGCCACCCGCCGTCGGCGTTGCGCGAGTAGCTGAAAAGCTCCTTGGGCTGTTTGAGCGCCGTGGTCTCTGCCCGCGTAGAGAGCGGGAGGGTGTGGTTCATGTGCGTGGGGTTTTGGGGCGGGCCGAAAGAAGGGTGTAGTTGATGGTTGGGGTTTTCGCGCTGCGCGAGGCCCTGGCGCTGGGGCCGCGCCAGGTTTGGGGCCGCGCCAGACTTGGGGCCGTTTTGGGGCCGATTTGGGGCCGATTTGGGGCAGGGCCGGGGCAGGGCTGGGGCCGCGCCAGATGGCCCGGTGGGGCGGGCCGCAGCCTGGGCCTGGCGGCGTGGGTATGTTTGGATTTGCGTGGGTATTTTTTTTTTTTGCGTGGCTGGGCTTTGGGCCTGGGGCTTTTGGGGTGTTTTCGGGGTGCTGTGCGGGTGCCATATGTGCTACATGTGCTTTAGAGGTGCTCTAGAGGTGTTCTATAGGTGTTCTATAGGTGCTTTATTGGTGCTATTATGGTGCTTTACTGGTGCTGTAAGGTGCTATACGTGCTACATGTGCTCTATACGTGCTACTATGGGGCTTTATAGGTGTTCTATAGGTGCTTCATAGGATTCTATGGGTGCTTCATAGGTGTTCTATGGGTGCTTTATGGTGGTTTTATGGTGCTTTGCTGATGCTATATGGCGCTTTATTGACACTTTATTGGTTCTTTGCTGGTACTTTATTGATTCTTTGTTGGTGCTATTATGGTGCTCGATAGGTGCTTATTTATTTATTTTTCATACTTTTACTTATATAATCTTTTCTACTATAATTATCTGATCTATATATACTCTATTATTAGAATAAAGTATGAAATAAGTATTTGTATTGATATGGATATTTAGTTTATTCGTATTTTTACACCGAATACATTAAGTCTCAAATGGCCAGTTTGTGCTTTAATAGCTGGAAATATATATTTCTAATTAATGGTAACATAAAAGTAAAAAAAAGGAGAATATCCCAAAAGAAACCCTGAGTACAACAAATATTTCATTACTATAATATTCAGATTAAAATTAAAATTAAGATTAAGATCCAAGTATAGTAATGTTAATTTTATACTTTGAAAACATTGATACTTATATAACAATCAAGCTACACCTAATATTAATTTTTGTTTTAAAACCTAGTGGATTTTGCTGGGGATTTATCGGTTCTTTGCTGGCACTTTTTTGGTTCTTTGTTGGTGCTAATACGGTGCTATATTGATGCTATTATAATGCTATTATGGTACAATTATGGTGCTATTGTGATGCTGTTATGATGTGTTACTTGTACTTTTTTCGTTCTTTGTTGGCCCTAGTATGGTGCTTTAAAGATGCTATACTGGTTCTTTGCTGGTACTTTATTTATTCTTCGTTGGTGCTAACATGGTGCTAACATGGTGCTAACATGGTGCTAATATGGTGCTAACATGGTGCTTATATGTGGGATGGGTGCGAAAGTGCTGGGCCAACTCGATGGCCAGGATGGCAAGAAGCGAAAGAAAAAATCTTCCTTACATTCCGTGTCGACAAAAACTAGACAACTGCCGTGGCATCAGGTACGGGGCCACTGCCTGTATTCTTGTTTTTTGTAAGGCGAGGACGTGTGGTTCAGAGCTTCTGGAGTTGGAGTTTGCACTGCTGAGCCCATACAGCGGCACATGCCTTTTCTCTGGCCTCAATTGCACCGGCTGGATTCAGAATAGTCTTGTTTCCAGGAGCCGCCGATGATTTTATACAAGACCCCTCTTTAGGTACAGAGAACGCTTTGTGACAACAAATGGATTGTAGCCAGACGCACTAAGTAGAGCCGGCCTAGCCCTACAGACAAGATTACAGAGATCGTATGGGCCCAGATCTCACGGAAGCGTGAAAGCTACAACTAAAACCACGAGCAGGGGTATATGACTAGATATTCAAATAATCTATAATTCAATATCTATTGATATATAATTAAAGATATTTTGACGTAGTTTGTTTCTTTTATTAGCCATATATAGGTGGTATACATTGGTTTTTGGTAGTAGTGCAATCATTAATTCTACATAGATGAATTATTTTTTTTATGATTTCACTTCCCTCTTTCCTTTTATTTAATAGATGAGAAGATAATCCTTCAAAAATTAAATTACCATGAGCTGAACCAATCGTCGTAAGCAGAATATATACGCGTGAGTATATCTTAAACAGTTCAAAGTGCGTGTAATTCGAGCTGGTTTTTGATATCATAATGCTATACTTAATCAGCAAGACTATTATAAATCTCATCATACACATCCGGAGGTGATAGAGAAGATGCACTATGAGTTCACGTTTTGTATTCTTGTTAGATGGAACTGTGCTTTTGCCAGTAATCAAACAAGTTCATGGGGGCAGCCAAACAAAATCAAAGACTATAAGGAAGCTCATATTCAGCCATACAGATTGCCAAACAAAATCAGGAAAATCATACAGGCAGCTCAAATTAAACTCTACAGGCCGCCAAACAAAATACAACAAAATCATACAAGCACGTTGTAAACGAAGCACGCAGATAGCCAAAGAACAAACACAATAATTTAATGGGCCGCCAAGCAGACTCAGATAAAATAATGTGGCCCAAACAATCAAAGATACCCCATGAACAGCTCGTATTGGACTATTCAGGCGGCCAAACAAAACAAAACAAAATCTATACAAAATCAGGAAAATCATATAGCCAGCGAAAGAATGCAATTCAAGATCATATGGGCCTAAACAACCAAGAAAATGATACAAGCAGCTCATATTGAACCATGCAAACAGCCAAACAACATCAGTCATGATTGTAAAGGTAGCTCATAATCGAGCCATAAAAGGAGCCAAAGAAGATCAAATTGGATCACAGCGGCAGTTAATGATCATATAGGCCACCAAACAAAACAATAAAACAAAATGGCCCAGGCAAATCATGATAATTGTACGGGGAGCTCACATAAAACCATTCAGGCTTCCATAATTCTTTCATACCGAATTGAACATGGTCCTAGAGACATCAAAAAAAATCAGCAGCCGAATAAGATCGGGACAACCCTAACAGGTAGCTCATATTAAGAGAATAAAACAGCCAAAAAAAATCAAACAAGATTTTCAGACAGTTCATAACGAAACCGCTCAGACAGAAAGCGAATCCAAGCAAACTCTAGAAGCAGCCAAACAAAATAAAGAAAAATCATAGAGAAAGCTCACATTTAACACACATTCTGCCAAATAGATTCAAAAAAATCATAGAGGCAGTTCACATTAAACTTTACAGGACGACTAACACAATAAACTCATATGAGTAGATCCTATTGAGCCATACAGGTAGCCAAACAAAAAGCAAGATAAAATGGCGCCCAACATAATCAAACAAGCTCATAGGGGCAGCTCATATACGATCATAGACCAAAAAGATCATACAGGCAGCTCAAATGAAACCTTAAAGGTTGCCAAATAAGATCATACAAGCAACAGTCAAAAACCAAGTATATCCTTCCTTGTTTTCTCGCTTTGCAAAAGGAAAGATGTAATCCTGTTTTGTTTCCTAACTCGGGTGGAGACAAGAATAGACTTACCATATCACGCTCTTTGAAACAAGTTGCAAAAAACCTAGAAGGATCGCAGAAAATAGACTTCAAAAGGAGAATAATCTCATGGAAACTCTTTTTGCTTGGCCAAAAGCCCTTTTTGAAGTGGTGCTTTATCAAGCTGCTAGTCAATCAGGCTGTTAGTATATTCAATGATTCGGGAGCTCAATAGAAGCCGGCATGTTCAAATAAATGGGGTATTCTGGCCATGGCCATGTGTCTGGATGATGTAGCATAATCATCGGCAGGATCATGGGAAAACCCACAACCAGACTAATAATGTATCAATGCAGCGAAATAGCTCAAGTAGGCCTCAGCAAGTGAAATACCACATGCGCTCTGCTCGAATAGAACCACCTAAACAGTAGTTTAGCAAGACCTGGCTGAGAGAATGGCGTATATCATCAAAGCAATTTATAGAGTGTCACTGAAGCTGTTTTCATATCCCAAGCACACCAGATAATGCACGCATCTTCGGCTATCTTAAAGCCTGTTTTGTTCTAGAGCCTGGAACTAATAAGGGGAGAAGAAAAGTAGAAAGCAGAACAAGAGGTTCCCGGAAGTAAAAAAGGCAGAATCGTGGCCAGTCGGATCTTTCCATCTCTGTTGTTTCTTAATATTCCATAGTGACAAGTCGCTTCAAGGGCAGGCGCGGAAAACTGCATTTGTTCATTCTTCATTATGAGGCTGGAGGACAGTACTCCTGGTGAACCTTCTTTAATTTTCGTCTGGGAAAATCCATAAACCTTTTTGGTTTTGGCGGACTTAAAAAATCAGTGGCTACAGATTAATACATAGACATGAAAACGGAACTTAGCCGCGGAAAGGCTGTACAGATAAGCTCCATCTTTGTTTCCAAAGGGCGAGAGACCATTTTTTTATTGAATCTTCCATCATCCATCTGATGTCCATCCTGATGAACATACGATTACACATCCTAAAAATGGGATGTTCCATCCCAATAAAAGGCGCTTATTCAATCTGATGAAGATTTACTCGTTTATCCTAATATTGATTGCACCACTCATATAGATATTGATGCACCCACCATCAGGGACATTGAATGTCCTAGCCTCGTTGACATTTGATCACATCTTAATAAACATATGATGACTCAAATCACTGACTTTCTATTCACTCTTCTAAATATACATCCATTCACCCATACTAACAGATATCCAATCACTCATTCTAAGAAACATTGAATCTACATCAGGAATTCCATTCGTCCATCGTCTATCATCATATCTAATCCATTCATTCACTCATCTCAAGAAACATTTCATCAGTCATTCGAACAAACGAATCGTCAAATATCCCAATAAACATAGTCACCATCCCACGAAACATAAACAACCCATATTATCGTCCATCATATATCGTCCATTATATCCCCCATCTAATACCCATCCTACTTCTTGAATGTCTCATCGCAAAAAACATTTGATTACTCATTCTAAGAGACGTGAAGTCACCCATCATTTTATCCATAGACTATCAACATACATCAACCATCCAATCACATGTCCTTATAACGAACTAATCACCCATCCCTGTAAACATATATCACACATCACGATAAACATAAATCATCCAATTAACATAATCATCCATTTCAAGAAGATTAATCGCCCATTTCAATAAAAATATAGTTTTATATCCCAATCTACATATAATTTTTCATCAAACATTTAGTCAGCCATTCTACTAAACATTGAAGAACTCATCCAGATAAAGATTTCACCACGCATCATATCGTTCATCATCTACCATCCATCGGGTATTACTCATCCATTCGAACATTTCTGATCACCCTTTTGAATAAAAGTTGAACCACACAATCTAATATACATTGAATCACCCATTTGAATGAACATTCAAAGACCCACCTATCATCCATCATCTATTATCTATCTTATACATATTTTAATAGACGAATAATTCCATGCCATTAAGAAATCATTCATCCCAAAGAACATAAATCACCCACCACTGCATCACCGATCCTCATATACATCTAGGTACATGTCCAAATATTCAAAACAATCACCCATCCTTATAAAATAAATTCATTGGTCGTTATAGACATGAAATCACCAATCCTAATAAGCATTCAATCATCCACTCCAACGAAGATATAGTTTCTCATCCCAATGACCGTTAGTATTTCACCCCAATAAGCACAAAATCCCTGAAAGCATATAATAAGCCATTTCTAAAAACATGAATCACTCATCCAGGAAGCATTGCACCATCCACCCAGAAATCACTGCACCATCGATCTTAATAAATATCTAAGCAACTGTCCTAATATCCAATTAATCATCCATCCATATAAATCAAGTCATTTATCGTTATAAGCAGAAAATCACACACAATTAGCAATCATCCATTCCAATATGCATAAAATTTCCATCCCAATGAGCACTTGGACACCGATCACAATAAACATTGAATCACCGAAGTCAATAGACATAAATCACCCATCCAGCCAACACTGCCTCACCCATCCAAGAAATATTCAATGCCCCACCTTGAACAATGAATTACCCATCTCTAAAAACATGACTCTCCATCCTAATAAGGATTGACTTAAGCACCCTAATAAACAATCGTCCATCCCAAAAAACACTCATCCATTCCAATGACATAAAATTTCTCACTCCAAGGAACATTTAGTCATTCACCCCAAAAAGCATATAATCACCCATTCTATAGACACTGCCTTACCCATTTTACAAATGTTGCCTTACCCATCGCACCAACACTGTATGATCCAGCCAAGAGACATTCAATGCCGCATTCCAATCAACAATGAATTCCTCATCTCTATAATCATATGATTTCCCATCCTAATAAGGTTTGATAACCCATCCTAATAAAGATTCATCCATCCCAATAAGCAGTCATCCATTCCAGTAAACATGAAAATTCCCCTTCCAACAAATGCGTAGTCACTCCTTACAATAATCATTGAATTACCCATTCTACAAACACTGCCTCGCACATTCCTCAAGTTGTCGCCCCGGTACCACCCCAAATCCAGCCACCTGCTCAAATGTCTCCGCCCCCCACATTGAAAAAACGGCCCTGCCTAATATCGCCTGGCCTTCTCTCCGAAACCGGCCCAGATCCCATCCCAGACGGCCGGCATGATCTCGTGATCCGGTGCGCACTTCCAGCGCACCGCTCACATACTTTCTGAATACTTTCTGGATACTTTCTGAATACTTTCCCAATACTCTCTCAATATTTTCAACACTCTTGCAATACTTTCTGAATACATTCTCAATACTCTCTCGATACTTTCTCAATACTTTTCAATACTCTCTCAATACTTTCTGAATACTTTTTCAATACTCTCTCAATATTTTCTGAATACTTTTTCAATACTATCTTAATTCTTTCTGAATTCTTTCTGAATTCTTTCTAAATACTTTTTGAATTCTTTCCTAATACTTTCTGAATACTTTCTGAATACTCTCCCGGTACTGTACTTTCTCACATACTTTCTGAATACTTTATCAATACTCTCTCGATACTCCCTCAATACTCTCCCAATACTCGCTCAATAAAATACTCTCTCAACACTCTCTCATTACTTTTCAATACCGTTTATTACTCTTCAATACTCTTCAATACTCTCCCAATACTCCCTCAACACTTTCTAAATGCTCTCTCACTACCTTTAAATACTTTTCAATACTCTAAATACTCTCTCAAGACCTTCTCATTCTTGCACATACCCTCGCACGCACTTTCCCAGTACTTTCTCAATCCTCTCTCAACACTCTCTCAACACCCTGCTGCCCTGCAAATCTGCCCCTGTCTTTGCCCCGGCCCCGCGTCTTCCCAGTTGCACCCTGACCCAGCACCGAAATCGCGGCCCCACATGCCGAAGCCCCATGTGCTTGTGGGTTTCTGGATCTTGCTACAAACGGCCGTGCTGGCCACAGAGCGCCTCGGCCAACCGCCGTGCACTTTGCCCCTGCGCCTGCCGCCCGGCCCGGAGCCGGTCCTGGACATAGGCCCTCTGCAGCCGGGCCCCCGGCTTTCTGCCCAGGCCGCCGGCCCGGAGCTTGCGTGTGATTTTCCTGCGGCTCTTGCCGTCACTATATCCGCTAGAAACAGCGACGTGGCCCCGGAACAGGCCCCGGAAAAGACGCCTGCCGCAGGCCCGGCGCCCCGGGGGGCCCACGGGCCACAAGCGCCGGAAGGCCCGCGGCCCCTGCCGTTTTTTCCCGCCGCCAGGGGCGTTTCCGGGCCGGACACTCCTGCCGCGGCCCAGAAAAGCAGTTTGCGTGGCGGCAGCGGCCCCAGCCCCGTGCCGGTGGATTTGGGCGAGCCGCTGCTGGCGCCGGGCGCCCCGGAAAAGCGCAGCAGCGCCGTTTGCGGGGCGTTCGCCGCGAGTCTGCGGCCAGACATGGCGCTTTCGGGACTTGCAAGCCCAGATGGACCCACATATGCTGGGCCTGGCCACGCCAAATCCGGGGAGGAGCATGGGGCCGGAACCGGGGCTCCGCGGGAGCCCAACAACGCCGCTCCCGGTCGTTTTTCGCTGTTTGGTGACGACACGAATGCCACGCCAAGGACGTGTTTCCAGCCGACCGGGGACCCCGACACAGCGGGCGGAAAAGTGTCTTATTCCGGCGGCCGGGTGCGCTTCCCGGGCCTCGGCGCTTTCACTATGCGCGACGTGGAGCGTGGGGGCTCCGGGGACATGGGCTTTCTGGGCCCTGGCTCTCTGGGTTCTGCGGGTCTTGACTCTTCTGGTTCCCCGGGTTCTGACTCTCCGGGTAGTGATTCTTCTGGTTTCTCGGGTCTTGACTCTTTTGGTTCCCCGGGTTCTGACTCTCCGGGTAGTGATTCTTCTGGTTTCTCGGGTCTTGACTCTTTTGGTTCCCCGGGTTCTGACTCTCCGGGTCTTGACTCCTCTGGTTCCTCAGGTGTTGACTCCTCTGGCTCCTCGGGTTCTGACTCTCCTGGCTTCTTGGGTTCTGGCTCCTCTGGTATTGATTCTTCTGGTTCCTCCGATTTTGACTCTTTTGGTTCCTCAGGTTTTGACTCCTCTGGTGACTCAGGTCCTCACTCTCTAGGTCCTGACTCTCTGGGCTTCTCGAGACTTGACGCCCTGGGTTCCCCGAAACTGGACTCCTCTGGCCCGAGTCCTGACACTTCAGACCCACCGGCGCCCAAATCGGCAGGTTCCCCCGCCCCAGAGCCCGCCGCATCCAACTTGGCGCCGATGCCCGGCCACCACCAGGCCGCCTACTCGGCGCACAATCCAGCATACCACCAGGCCGCCAACTACTCCGATGATTGCAAGTTCCTCTCCTTCGAGGAGTGGAAGAAGTTGAAGGAGGCCGACACCAAAGCGCCATTGTCCAAGGCCCAGCCCGGCGGCCCCCTCCCAAACCAACAGGCTGCCCCTCTGCCGCAGAACGCCAGCTCCTCGCCCCACAAGCCCGAACAGCAGCCCGTGCCCGAGGACCAGGGCCGTGTGTACAAGGACAAGTTCAACTACGCGTCCGGCGACTGCGCGGCCACGATCGTCGAAACCAACAGCGACGCCAAGGGCGCCGCGGCCATCTTGACGGAGGTCAAGGACTCGTACCTCTTGAACAAGTGCCTGGCGGCCAGCCAGTTCGTGGTGATCGAGCTCTGCCAGGACATCCTCGTGGGGTCGGTGGTCATGGGCAACTTCGAGCTCTTCAGCCTGATGTTCCGCACGGTCAAGTTCTCGGTGGCCGACCGGTTCCCCGCCACCCAGGGCTGGCACGATTTGGGGCTGTTCGAGGCCCAGAACATCCGCGCCATTCAGACCTTCGACATCGCCAGCCCGCTCATCTGGGCCCGCTACTTGAAGATCGAGGTGGCCAGCCACTACGGCAACGAGTTCTACTGCCCAATCTCCTTGGTCCGCGTGCACGGCAAAACCATGATGGAGGAGATCAAGGACTCCGACCGGAGCACGCAGCCGGCGCCGGCCGAAACCTCCCGCGCCTCGCCGGCCCAGGAAACGCCTGCCGCGGCCTTTGGCTGGGAAGACGGCGCGGCAGAGTGCAAGGTCAGGGGCCCGTTCTTGGCGCTCGACCAGTACTTGCGTGACTTGAACTACAGCGCCAACTACTGCGACGTGCCCATGATGCACACCAACGTATCGCACCCGGCCCTGCCGGAGACCGCCAGCACCAAGCCCACGCAGGAGTCCATCTTCCAGAACATCGTCAAGCGCTTGGCGCTTTTGGAGCGCAACGCCACTTTGTCGCTTTTGTATGTGGAGGAGCAGAGCAAGCTTCTCCTGGATGCGTTCTTCAACTTGGAGAACCGCCAGGTCCGCAAGTTCGAGCACCTCTTGGCCCACATCAACGAGACCATGTACACGCAAGTGCACTACTTGGAGCGGGCCGTGGGGCAGATCAAGTCCGACTCGATCAGCATGTTCCGGGCCCAGAGTGCGCAGGCACTGCGTTCCATCACCGGCTTGCGCCAGGAAACACGGGCTTTTGCGGGGGAAATCTCCTTTTTGAGGAAGCTCGTGGTTGCCGACACGCTCATCATCCTCGCCTTGTTGGTGTATGTGATTGGGACGCGAGAGACGTTGGCTGTGGATGAAGTGAATGCGAGGCTCAAGCCTGCCAAGGCGCTGCTGGAGACAGAGCTTGTTCTGGACATGGAGGCGAGCCTGGTGGGGGAGCCAATTGTGAAGACAAAAGGGGACCTGGCGAAAAAATCAAAGTCGAAGACGGAGCTGAGGGCAAAGACCGACGCCATTTCGAACACACCAAGTCCGGAGACAGAACCGACTCTCAAGACAGAAGCAGATCCAGAGAAAGACCCGGTTCTGACGGAACATCCAAATCTGGAATCGGACCCGAACCTGAGCACCAAGCCTGGTCCAGGCCGTCGAAGGCCCAAGGCCAGGCAACGAAAACATTGATCCCCGTCCGTACGCATCCGCAACTAATTTTATTTATACTATGTACATGAACGAGACTCTTCCGCAAAAAAGACGTCTCAGGAGATTGAAGTGAAAGCTTGCACGGAGCGTGCAGTGATTTTCCAGTATCCGTTGGCCTCAGCAAAATAGTACAGCGATCAGGAATCAAACGCGCAGACTCGCTTCGGCTACATGGCAAACATAGTAGGAACCCACAATCCGGGAACTTCATAGCTCATGGCCTTACTCCTCGAATCCAAAATCTTTACCACCTGACTCACCAAACTTCTTGAAGCCACCATCACGGCTGCCACCATCACGGCTTCCACCAAAGCGGTTGCCACCATCACGGTTGCCACCATAGCGGTTGCCGCCGTCACGGTTTCCACCATAACGGTTGCCGCCGTCACGGTTTCCACCATCACGGTTGCCACCATAGCGGTTGCCACCATCACGGTTGCCACCATCACGGTTGCCACCATAGCGGTTGCCGCCGTCACGGTTTCCACCATAGCGGTTGCCGCCGTCACGGTTTCCACCATAGCGGTTGCCGCCGTCCGAGTCTCTGTTACGGAAGTCGCGGCCCCCACTGCTTCTGTTGCCCGAGAAACGGTCTCCCGAGCCGCCGTAGCGCGTGGAGCGCGAGAACTGGTCTCTCACCAGACTGGGCGAGCGGGCCTTTCTCTTGATGGCGTTTGGGTTGTCCACCTCGATGTAGTCCGGCACAAGCTGGCCGGGCAAGGCCATGTTGTTGAACATACGCGTGGAGAGGTAGATGGTGGCGTCTTCTTTTTCAATGAAACCCCTGTAGAGGAGCACGATACTGCGGATGACATCAAACTTCTTCATGCGATACGTGTCACAAACGGAGGACTGGAAGCCCATGAGCGAGGTCACGTATTCGCGGACATCTTCCTCCGGCAACTTGCCCCTCAACTTCTCCTCGGCCTCCGCGGTCATCTCGTATTCCACCTCGGAGGTGAACTCGATGTGCTTCTGCGTGTACAAGTCTTTGGTGAAGTTAAGCTCGTTCTCCGACAAGAAGAGCGTGGCTCTGCCCGGCTGGCCGGCACGGCCGGTACGGCCGATCTTGTGGATGTAGTCCTCAATGTTCTGGGTGGTGGCCATCTGGATGACGTCACTGACGCCCTTGAAGTCCAAACCACGTGCCGCCACGTCCGTGCAGATAAGCACACCGCGCTTGGTGCGCTTGAACTGTTCCGTGGTGTATCTGCGGGCTCCCTGGGTCATCTTGCCGTGCAACATCCAGGTGAAAGGGAAGCGGTCGGGGAGGGCCTTGTTCAACAAGCGGAACATGAAGTCTGCGCCGACAACAGTAGGGAGAAAGAAGATCGCCTTGTAGTCCTTGGACTCGATGTTGGAAAGAATCTCGTCCACGGCCGCCACGTGCGACTCGTAGATCCCAGGGGTCTTGATGAGACGTTGCTCAATGTGCGCGTGCGACTCGGCCTCGGAGTCGTCCACACAGTTGATGTACTTGTAGTCCTTGCCCATCTGGGCCTCGGCAAAACGCGTGACTCTGTCGTTGGTGGTGGCACTGAACAACAACGTGCGCAAAGGAGGCTCGAATTTCTCACTACGGAGACTCTTGATCTTGGCGTCAATGGCGTTCAACTGGTCCTCGAAACCCTGGTCCAACAAGCGGTCGGCCTCGTCGTAAACACGGAACTCCAACTCGTTGAAGTGCTGGGCCCAGCGGCGGTCCTCCAAGTTGGCCAAGATCCGGCCGGGCGTGCCGACAATGATCTGCGGCACGTCGGAGCCCCAGGGGCGTTTGCCAGGCGGCAAGCCGCCGGTCCAGAGCCGCACGTCACACTTGTGTCTCAAGTGGGGGTTGTTCATGTTGAGACTGCGGAAATCCGCGTGGATCTGCTGGGCCAAGTCTCTGGTGGGCGCAATGACAAGGCACGACACATTGCGGCGGCGCATCTTGTTGGTCTCGAAGATGTCCATGACGTGCTGCATCAACGGAATGACGAAACTGTACGTCTTTCCTGTTCCGGTCTTGGCACGGCACACCAAGCCCTCCTCCTGCAAGAAGGGAAGGATGGTTTTCTGCTGCACGTGCGTGAATTCCTGGAAGTTCAAGGAGTGCACGGCTTTCTTGAGCCAGCTGTTGAATGCAGGGTGCTCCTTGAATTCGGCCAACGTGATTTCCTCCTTGCCTAACACCTCGTACAAGTTGGGTCTGGCCACGGGTTTGTGTGCCGGGGCGTGGGCCATGATTGGCGCTGCGGAGGTGAGGCCTCTCTTCGGAAAGAGCGCCTGGGGCCGCGAGCGCAGCAATGCTTTGAAAAACATCATCTGAGCAGGCTGGCGGTGGTTCAGTGTGTTTGATCTGGAGAAGAAAAGAAGTAATGGAGGATGTCTGGGAGAAATTTTCGCACATGGGGCAGGGCGATGCCATGTTTTGGGATGTCCGGGTGTGCGCGCCAGGCAGGCGGGGCCGGTCCCCGATAGAGATGGATGCGGGAATGGAGCCTAAAGGGCGGCGGCTGCAAACAGGCCTTTTGGCCGGGCTGAAAAAAATCGGGCCGGCGCAACTAGAGTGGATCCGGGGGGCACGCCCAGCCATTGCGTGATTTCTTTTTCGGGCGCCGGGCGCTTTTTGCTGCCACGACGGAAACACTATTGGGCACGTAGTTAGGGCAAGGCGCGCTGGCATGGCGCTGCGGCTGGACCAAAACGCAGCAGCGCGATGGGTCACGTGACGCGCCACTGCTGGCCCCGGTCTGGATCTCGGGGTCTTGGGGCCATCCGAGCCCCACCCACCAGGGGTGTTTTTTGGCATTTTTGGGATCTGGCGGGGCGGGCGTCTGGGTGGCTTTCCGGGCGGTTGGGGGGTGGCGACTTGGAAAAGGCGCTTCCGGGGCCCTATTCAGCTTTTTGCTGTAGCCTTTCTGACTGAAATACAGGACTCTGGGGGTTGGGTTTTGCCACGGATGGCGCCGTGCACCCCAGCTCCGGTAGATTTATTAGGGTGAGTTTTTTTAGATGTGGGGCGTTGTTGGACGGCAAGCAGCCGAGTCCCACACCCACTCCGTATAGACAGGTTTGCCTGTCCAGATCCGAGGCAGCCTGCGGGCTCCCGGTCTTTTGCATTTCCGAGTTTGGGGCACTTAGGGGGCTTGAGCCACTGGGCCTTCGGACGACGGTTGGCCGCAGTGCATTATGGAGTCCACGGTGATTGTTGTAGGTTTTTCTGAATGTCTTTTGGTTCGAAGCAATCATTCATACTGAATCCATGGATCCCGTCTGCCAGTAGTCTGTGGGTCAATGTACCATTTGGTAGAGTGCTAGAGGTTTGTCTGAATCTCTCTGGATTCAAAAGCTGTTTTTCCCAATACTTTCTGGTTTCAATTGTCTGTGGAATTGAGAGTACCATTTGGTGATGGTAGGCTTTTTGAATATTTCTGAGCTCCTGTAAATTTTCTGATCCCAAGGATTGCGTCTGATTCGAGTAGGAATTATTGATAGCACGCGATGGCTGTTGCAGGTTTCTCTGAATGTCTCTTGGTTCGGAGAAACCAAGATGATTCCAGTGACTATGGTAAATGTGCCGTTTGGTGTTGTGGGTTTCTCTGAATCTCTCTGGTTTCAAGAACCATTTTCCCAATACTTTCTGGTTTCAATTGTCTGTGGAATTGAGACTTCCATTTGATGATTGTTTACGTTTGTCTGAATGATTCTGAGCTCCTGAGGCATTTTTGAATCTGTAGATCCCACCTAATTTCAGTAGTCTAAGGACTCGAAGTACCATTCGATGGAGTCCAAAAAAAACTTTCTTTTAATCTCTTTGAACAGACTGTCAAGGTAATTTCTGAATCCGGGGATCCGGCTGATTTAGGAATCTGTGAAGTCAATAAACAACTTGATTTGAATGTTCATGTTTTCCCCGAATATTCTGAGCGCCTGCCTGAATCTGGAGTTGCCATCCGTGTCATTTCCGAATTTGCAGGTCTCATCTTTTCCTAATTTACCTTAACATCAAATCCAATCGTTCTTGTATCCCCTGCCCTCTCTGATCTCCCTGAAAATAGAGATGTCTTTCCAATGCCAACCTGTCCAAGTTGTGTTCTAAGAGCCTCGGCGTCATGTTCGATGCGGTATTGGCAATGCCCACTTTGATTGAATGTTCTGGCGTTGTGCAAGTCTCGGGATTCGCAACTGCGTAGAAGTTCGATTGCATAACTTCCCTAATTTCAGATTCCTCTGGTACTCGTTGGCTGACTTAGCGTTGTCGCGTGCCTCAACAGTCACGCCAATTTTGACAAAGACATGAAAGAGCATCGCAGTCTAGACCAAGGAAAGGACACCACGTGTCAAGGGATTCCACCGTTTTTGTACTTTACTAGCACTCATTTTATGCCGGCCATGGCATAATTGGGGCGTATATCCAGACCGAGAGCACTAGTAGAGCCACTGTGATCCAACCATTTCCAGAATCAGCAGTTCTAGCACCAGGCACAATGCAAGGTAGGAATATGTAACACCCCAGAGTCGGATTAGTGGCTGATGGCGGCGCTGCTTTTCCGAAGCTAAGACTATCGTATAGCACACCGTATTCATGCAAGCCAGACCCAGCATTTTCCCAGATTGAAACCGAAGCTAGTTCGTTCCCAAATCAGCCCTTAATCTCAGGTAAGTACCACAACTGGCCCATTCCAAGATCAAGGCTTTTCCCAGATAAATCCCGAAACTGGCTATTCCGAAACTAAAGCGTATGCCCGAATTATTTCCAAAATCAAAGCCCATTTCAGACTCATTCCAAATGCGGCCCATTACAAGAACAAAGCCTATTCCAGATCAATTCCACAACCGGCCCATGCCAAGATCATTCCCTCCAAGTGATTTGTTGATCGTGTTTTTTGATGAGAAGCTGGATTGCATATTCGAGCTTTCTTTATAGTCGAAGAGGTGTTGTGTAAAATGTCTTATGAAACGACGAGTTTCTACGCTGTGAATGTCTTTTGCCATTGAACCTCTTTGGAAATAAACTGTGGCACGGAGATGAGTGCATGATAAACATACATGTCAACGACAAGTACTGATGACCATGAAACCATCTATGATGTCCATGAAACCATCTATGATTTCCATGAAAAGCATCTATGATGACCATGAAAAGCATCTATGATGCCCATGAAACTATCTATGGTTTCCATGATTCCTATGATTTCCATGAAGCCACCTATTATGTTCATGAAAACACCTATTATGTTCATGAAAACACCTATGATTTCCATGAAGACACCTATGATGACCATGAAACCATCTATGATTTCCATGAAACTCACCTATGATTTCCATGAAGACACCTATGATG